TTCTGTAGCGTATTTATATATATATTTTAAAGAAAATCTAGTTCCTACATTATTTTTCTATACATTGACTCGTTGGGTCCTCTAACCTGCAATATGCCCTTTAATAAAGCAGTAGGGATGAGTCACGATTTTCGAATATTCGATTTGTTGATTTAATTATAGAATATCGAATAGGTCGTGCGACTATTTAGTCGAAAAAAAATCCCGATGTTTTCGGTGCTGATTCGGTGGTGACGCTGTGTTCATGTAACCAGAGGGTGACGCTGCCAATAACGCAAAAGCTGTCACAAGGAACCGGCGAAAGTAATGATTATGAAAGTTTCAAATATAGCAAGGAGACATTTTAATTGTTTATTAGTGTCTGTGTCGGCTGCAATAGTGACCGCAGTAGTTAACGCGCCTATAGAGAGAAATGCACATTTCATATGGATTACATAAGCAGAGAGTAGTCGTTTTAAATTGTTTCGTTTAAAATTAGACATTTTTAAGCTTTCTATATATTTCTGGTGTCTGTGAGGCAGCTTAAACGCTGAGTTTCGGTTGATTTATGAGAAAAGCTCCAGTTCACGAGCAATGCAATCTCGCCGGCGCCTCCATGTCCTGATTATATTGTCTGCTATATTTGCTTCTTATTTATTAAATCCAGGCAATTGGTTGATAAAACATTGATTAAAAATAAGATACAAAACGAAATTCAATTTTTAGAAAGGCTTTCTACAAAACAAAACTTAATGAAGTGGTCAAAATCATGTCTGACCCACATGTCTCCCGATATATTGCGGCATCTTACAACACATCCCGCCTTGCCAAAACACACATGTGGGAGATGCGGAATGGATAAAAATAACTCAAAAAATATAAGAGGACTTGAATAAGCCCATTAATGGCATTTTTGAGTCATACTTTCAACGAACTATGTTTTATTTCCTCTTTCCATATTGTGAATAATAAATGTGTATCATTTTAATTTGCTTGTTACACAATGGAGTCTAACTTATTGTAATAATTATTTGACGTAGACTACTTTTAAACTTAGAATTATTCCATGGCATCCTCGCATACTAAACTGCATTTTTTATCATTATTTACGTGCTGGAGGTACGCTATTATGTCGTGTGTAGAGTGATGTTAACATTTAAGCTAGCTGGTGAGAGAAAATGGCACTATCAAAGAGTCTAAAAAGGAAAGTTGACAGCGAAAATAGCCATATAAAGAATAATGAAAAGACAACTATGCGTTCATCCTATCTAGTTTTGTAAATGCAAAGCCGGTGTGTCTTATCTGCAACGACAACCCGATCACACTAAATGCGTCTCTATAGCACGCATTGTGTTTATCGTGCAATTTATATGCGAAAATTAGTTTTTACGTGCATATGATACGCATGGGTAGGTTTAATAGTGGTGTCGGGTGCGTGTGTATTATACGTTGGGTAGGATTAGTGGTGTGGGGTGTGTGTGTATTACACGCAATAAAGTGCGTATCAAAAGCATGCGAAAAACTGCTTATATGCACGTAAAAACTCATTTTTTGCGTATAAATTGCACGATAAACAACGCGTGCTATAGAGACGCATTTAATATAATATTAGACATTTCATGACGGTTATTTTAGAGGTGTGTCTAGCGATCCACAGACTCTTTTGAATGTCTTTCAGAACTTTTCAGGCTGCGGCGTGGGCCAGATATTATTGCTGACAGGCCACATTAGACTGCTGTGATCCGTCATGAGTAAGAAATTAGACCCCAGCAATAGTGGCGGAACTGTCTTGTGAACCTGACAACTGCTAGGAGTTCCTTACGTGTGACACAGTACCTCTGGTGAGCTGGTGTGAGGAGACAGCTGGCAAATGAGATAACCTTCTCTTCCCCCCGTAACTGTGAGAGCACTGCTCCAATGCTCTGGTTGGACGCATCAGTGTCCAGGACAAACTGTCCAGATGAACTAACCCTTTAAAGGAGAACTCCGGCACAAAATGAACCTTTGGTCTAATAAAACATTGGTACCTAGTCAACCGTTCTCTGAGATATGTTTTCATGATAATCGAATGTAAAGAGTTTTATCTCTAAAAACTGTTTAGCGTATAACGCTAGTAATGGGGGCATATAATAAGTAAAAATAATTTGCTAGTTTTATTTGAGTTTTAGTTGAGTCACTTACAAGACTCAAAATAGCCCCACACTAACACAGTAACATATTGAGGGTCCCTACATGCAAAACGAAGCATTGAGAACTTTGTAAGTGTACAGACCGTTTAATAGGAAGATATTTTATAAAGACAGTCCACTTCGTGTATACAGACAGGAGCCATCTTTGGAAAACAGTCTCGACTAGTCAAACCACGAACGACGTGCTAAGTGAGCTGAACTGTATGAAGTTCAGTGAACTTCTGAACTGTATGAATGGCGTTCGTGGTTTGACTAGTCGAGACTGTTTTCCAAAGATGGCTCCTGTCTGTATACACGAAGTGGACTGTCTTTATCTTTATCTTCTTATTAAACGGTCTGTACACTTACAAAGTTCCCAATGCTTCGTTTTGCATGTAGGGACCCTCATTATGTTACTGTGTTAGTCCTTAAAGGGACGGCTTGGGGATGGAGCGAGGAGGGGAAAATTGTAAACCCAGAGCGGAGCTTGAGCGGAGTAATTACGGATTGCTTTGAGCGTGGAGCGCAAATTCTTTCCGGTCCGCTCCGCTCACATACTCTGCTGTGCACGGCTTCTAGGTCTTACATCAGGGCCAGGTCTGGAGGAAGTTGGACTAATTGGGCTCCGTACGTGTCTATCAATGACCGCAAGCTCAGCAGCAAAAAGCTGTTCAGCATCTGAAGGCCCTGTAGCATCTCCATCTGTCATAAGGGTTCTATCAGGGGCAGCTGCAAGTGAGGAAGAGTCGTCATGTTGGTGGGGACCACGTGTTACCTTACTAGCATGGGGCTGCTGCGTAAGGGTAAACAAACTAGCCTCTGTCGCTTCCAATCTTTGGAGCAGAGGTGAAATGGCATGTTGGAGTTGCTTATTTTGTTGTGACAGCACAGCCTGTAGCCATTGTGGGGGGTCCGGAGCAGCTGATGCTCCGAGGTGGACCTCTGGCTCACTCACATCCATGTTGTATTACAATTTAGCTTGAATTGTTTTTGTTTTTTTTTCGTTTTTTCACTCACTGATGATACCAAGTTTCTGTCGTTTGCAGAGGCTCAGCTTTATGCAGAAGCTTATATTCCATGAATGTTTTTTGTTTTGTTTTGTTAATTGTTCTAGTATAGTTCTAAAACTGAATACTAAAATTCTGTGGTTTGTGAACTTCAATATAGGTTTGCAGGGCTGATTAGTAGTATCTGTGAAAGTTGGCAGTGAAAGTTGGAAGGCAGCCAACAGCAGCGCTAGCTTTGGCAGACTGTCAGCGCCACGCCTCTCCGATGGGTGAAGGGAAACTCCGTGCAGCACTTATTTTCGTGAGTTTATGGTCAATGCGACGACCAAACGTGGTCAAACAGTCTTTAATACTTTACAACAGCTTTGGCAGTAATTATAATGTCCATCGATTCACAAAGGATGTCCCAGCAGTTCACAACACGCACAATTCGCTGATGACTGTCAATCACGCTCAGCTTCTGACACCACTTGTTGTGCTTTCGTGTTTGGTTGGATTCAGTGTGCGTGGAGGCGTGAAGAGATGCACACAACAAAGAGAGTCCGTTTCAGGAACTTTACTTTACTTATCAAGACATAACTTTACATCAACGGGGGTTTTATGCTCTTGCCCAGCGCTGATGGGTTATAAAACCATCCGCAACGGAGCCTGCGAGCATACTAACGCTAAACATAAACAAGCAGTGAACGAATCCCTACGTAATGACGTAGCCACATCTGATTGGCTAATAAGAACACATTACGTATACATGTGAAATAACTGTAACAAACAATGCATTTACTTAACTAACACTATAACAATATTAAATAAACCATCAAAAGAAGCTCAGTATTTGAGTTGAGGGTTTTCTATCATCACAGACCATCTCACACTTCTCACTAATTCACTCTTATCTTCTTAAAAGCAGAAGCACAGCAAAGTCAGGCTGAAGAATAACTTTATTCACACCAGATATCTGAATCTCAGACTCTAGCATGACCTGTAATGTATATTTGCACAATGATCTGCATTTTCGGCTCATCGTTTCGGGTGTCCATTCTCGCTCTGTAAAGGAAGTGTTTCACACCCCCTCCACCCACACGGTCAGCTTCTGTTTTATTCATTTACTCTCCACCATCACCATCATTGTTGCCCAGTCCTGTGTGTTTGAACCGCGAGAGGCGTCAAAGCTCACGCTACTCCTACATCTACGTCATACATCGTCGAGTGTTACTCTTCTGGCGTAAGTCGACTTGCGTACGGGCGTCTGTTTAAGCTAGTTATTTTAGTCGATAAAGTTTTAAATATGGATATTTCTCTTACACAAACACATCACTTCCCTTCTGAAGGCCTTTATTAACCCCCAGAGTCGTGTGGAGCACTTTAATCATGGATGGATGTGATTTGATGGACTTCCAAAAAAAAAAAAAAATATTCACTGCCATTATAAAGCTTGGAAGAGCTAGGACATGTTTTAATATAATATAACTCTGATTGTGTTCGTCTGAGAGAAGAGTGTCATATACACTAGGATGGCTTCAGGGTGAGTAAATCATGGGGTGATTTTAATTTTTGGTTGAACTATCCCTTTAAGTAATCCCAACACAACTTTCCTTGTAAACACAACTCAAATACCTTGTGTAGCAGAAACATAACTCAATTATGTGAAAGTAACTAATAGTAACTAAAGTATTGTCACACATTTTTCAATATATTTAAACCATTCAATACACTGATCATAAATATATTTTCTTTCCGTAGGGGTAAAATCCATTTAGCCTAGTAACCCGCAGTTTCTTTGGGCTAATTGGTTTAATAACTTCTGCTGTGTGTGTCCATGTCCGCCGCGTGTGTAACACACCTGCTGTACGCCTCCTCCACTTGCAGTACACGGCCAGGCTTCCCCCGAGTATGACGACAGCGACGACACCGACGCCCACTGCGATCAGCAGATACTTCAGATCAAACCCTGCATCACAAGAAACAAATGACTGTTAAATCAATATTTACAAATACCAATTGTAATTTACATATTACAAAACCTGTATGATAAAAACTGAGCTCATTATTTTAAGGCGAGAGAGGACCGGGTCTGGGACATTTCACAATGTGTTTTATTTATAAAACGCTGTTTAGTTTTGTTGTTTATGTTTTGCTTTATCATTAAACTTTATGTTAGACATGTGTATTTGTTTCTGCCTCTTCCTTTCCTGAACTGTAACTTTGTTACAATTGTAAATAAACAAAAGCTTGAAATACTGTGACAGCATTTACCCCGAACTAACTAGCGTTCTGTCAAGATTCTCTCACAGTTATGAACAAACGTTCTTCCTTCCAGTAACGTTAAAAAAATGTTAGGTCAAAGTAATCTGTTTTTTTACTAATGTTTTCAAAACATTAACACAAAAATGTATAAGTTTTTTCTTAAACGTTTCAGTTGGATGTTCATCTAACATGTTTTAATTGCTATACTACTCGTTTCAGTATGTTCATACATATAAAAATAACATTCCCAAATTGTTTGCGGAATGATAATGGAATGCTTTCTTCGTTCCAGCGTTCGTATAACCAAGAATTTTTTTTTTGCTAACTTAATGAGAACTTTAGAAAATAAGCCTATTTGTTGTTAGCTGGGTACAGTATTGACTTAGCTTTAAATCACTTCGATAGTTCCTTTTAGTAAAAAATAGTTAATCTTTTGATCCATATAGAATTTAAGTAATTCAGTATTTTAATGCAAACCTGTACCCGATGACGCACTTGGACCCTTCTCTGTGCACACTACAGTCCGGTTAGTGCGCTTGATGCTGACGGTGTTGTTGGCGGTGCAGGAGAGAGTAGCGCTCTCTGCTGGACGGATGCTGATGCTCCGGTTCTGTCCGGTCTGGACCGGATCTCCACTCCAGCTGTAGGAGGGACTCAGATCGCCGGACGCCAGACACCGAAGATGAAACACACAAATGTTTTTTGACTCCAGCCAGGAATCATTGACCTCGATCTGGACATCTCTGATGAGATCTGGAGGAGAATAACACGCTAAATCAAATATATTTACATTTAGAAAATAAAGGTTATTTTTTAGTATCTATGGTTCCATGAAGAACCTTTCACATCCATTAAACCTGTTCATTGTGTAAAGTTATATATATATATATTATATATATATATATAGTGGGGGAACGTTATTTACACTACAACTGTTCACTGGATGATTGTGACATCACTGCGAAAATTCCCTTTTTGAATCATTATTTTTAAAGGTGTTCGGTTCCCTTCATTAAGGAACTATTTAACTTCAGCTAAATGACTAGACGTATTTAACTAGTTCTTGAGTGTTTATGTGTGTTTACATCCTAACAGCATTGACAGGATGAATATCAAGATAAACTCACCATGAACGTGCAGCACAAAGACTTTTGTTGGAAGTTGACCTGATTTTGCTATTGCAACAATAGAGAATCTTCCAGAATCCTGGAGTTTCAGGTCTTTTATTGTTATACTAATATTGTCCTTATACATCTTTAACCTTTCAAGAAATAATGGAGGATCCGTCCGTTTGATCTGTTTGATCTGATCTTTGTCATACTCAGCAAAATCAATCTCATTATATTTCCACTGCACTTCAAGACCCTCTTTTGTATAATCAGCGATTAAATCCAGTGAGTCTCCGACAGCTTTGTGCACATGAACATCTGCAGCTCGTGACCCTACAACACACAACAAACCACTCTGGTTACAATCATCACAAAATCATGTCATATTTTTCACATTCACCCTAAGATGAATTAGTTTGGCAACAACATCATCAGAACCAATGAGAAAAGGGGAGACGGCTAATATTAAATAAACCATCAAAAGAAGCTCAGTATTTGAGTTGAGGGTTTTCTATCATCACAGACCATCTCACACTTCTCACTAATTCACTCTTATCTTCTTAAAACCAGAAGCACAGCAAAGTCAGGCTGAAGAATAACTTTATTCACACCAGATATCTGAATCTCAGACTCTAGCATGACCTGTAATTTATTATTTGCACTATGATCTGCATTTTCGGCTCATCGTTTCGGGTGTCCATTCTCGCTCTCTAAAGGAAGTGTTTCACACCCCCTCCTCCTCCTCCACCAGCTTCTGTTTTATTCATTTACTTAGGGCACATTTGAAAAAAAAAATTCTTCCATAGCTCTGCCTCTGAATGACAAGTGAACTTAAAACACTGAAATAACACACGTTTCATTAATGCTGGTTGCAACAGAATAACGGTCGGCTACATTTGGACACATTCAGTAAAGATAAGACTTAAGGTTTCCTGAGCTGAACTTTTCTCTTTTCTCACAGATGAAACACGGATAAGACTTAAACACAACATGCATGATAATTCGCCTCTAAACGGGTAAAATACATTTCAACTTAAATACAACCCTTTTAAACATGCATTGCGGTAGTTAATACACAGTTAATTCAAGCTACTTTGTCAGACTTACACACACATATAAACATATAAATCAACACATACAACCAAGATGTAGGCTACTACGTATGTGCCTGTATACCGAATAACCAAGAGCAGTTTTTCAGATGCAAATTAATTCCACATCAAACACAAATAAGGAAGTGTCTTACAGCCTGTTGAGACATAAACTGAGATGTTTCTCAATGTACTCACCCCGGAGAAGGAAAAGCAGGAGAACTGCTAAAATGGAGCAGGATTCTCGACAGATGTTCATGTTCGGACGTTTAGACGACAGACTGGCTGAGGCATCAGGGAAAAAGCGAAGAAAAAGAAGAGAGAAAACTACTTCCTCACACACACCGACCGCTTCGAGTCGCTCAGTTTGTGTACATCTACCCGCTGCCCTTCTGACACAAACAAGTGTCAAACACAGTGCCAACACACACACACACACACACACACACACAATACCTCTGAGACGCCTCTGCGAGATGCGCTTGAGCTTTAGGGGCTTTGCGGTCTCTATGTCTGTTTGCGCCTCCCACTCAGCAGAGTTTAACACGAACAGCAGTTTCATCAACAGCTCTGACACTGCTTGTATGTGGAGCTGGAGCGTTTACTGTAAGTGAGCAAAAGCACTGGCACCCCACCAGGGAGCGAAAGTGAAGTGAAATCCCAGGCGGAATAAGGAAGTTAACTTAAAAAAGAGACTCACTTTGTCAAAGGTGCTTTGCGTTCCTGTATCTGTTCGTGGAAACAGCTTAACGTGCGTCTGTGAGAGAATAATACGAGTTTGCACTTTGCATGAGGCGATTGGTCCACAATACATCAAGCTGGTGAACCACAAACTAACCTCAACCACACCATTGCAAGCGATTTGTGCCATTTTCTCAGCGTCTAGCACGTTTTCTTCAAAAGAGAAGGCATACAAATGTACATTTGTTCAATGCATATGTGCAACGGCACATCCTTTGTTGTTTACACACCAGCATGAGCAGATATTTTAGGCTGTGCGGGACATTGCAGAGCAGCTGAACGGAGGAAGTGAAACTCACATCGACAGAGGTTTTAGTTCTAATGGAAAGTATTACTCAGATGGTCAGCAGAAGAGTCAGGAAAACTCACTTACAGGAAACAGGTTTCAGCACAAACACATGAAAAGCCATTGCATCCCATCGGGCAGTGGACTCTATAACTGTGCATCCAGGGTTTTCTAAGGAAAGGACCTGTGGCCACTGCGCCATCTTGTGATGTGATCATGTGCAACCGCGACTTACTGGTTACTGACACCAGCACACAATGGGGATAAAGCAAATGAAATGGCAGACAAAATAGCAAAAGAATGGTAGGGAGTGTTTTGTGCCAGGGGGGAAGTAGATCCACCCCTTGTTTCTGGAAAACCATAGAATAAATTGGTCATGTGACCACATAATTTTGAAAAGCCATCCATTTTACTCATCCTCCAAAGAAAATAGACACATGGCATGAGAAGTAAGCACATTTTAGCTGAAAAAACTGTTTTTTTCCTTTTAAAGTAAAATTTCTATGATTAAGGTTTATTGATTGTAGTGTCTGAACAATTATAGACAAGTTTGAAAACATTTCACACATGTTTTAGTGCTTTAGCAGGCTACACAATGAGTCTATAGAGTTAGCATGATGTCAGCTCTTAACTGCTGGATCATGCTAGTTTTTCAAACTTGTGGGTCTGGGGTGATTTGTGCCAAAGGGCCTGGGTTAAGTTGTGCCAGTGGCTAGAATGTACATTTCCTGAAGAAAATGTGAGTGGTGCTTGCAGTAAGCAAAACTCGCCACACAACCGCCTAGAAACACCATAGTAACCACCCAGAACACCCTAGCAACTGCCTAGCAACCACCCAGAACTATGTTATTAAAGAGAAGTTTTATTAAGTTGTATTAAGTCACAATAGGATGTTTAGAAATTAGCCTAGTCACTTTATTCGTATGTGTTACATAATTGACAGACAGCATTCTATGTATGTCAACAGGCATCTATTGCCAAAGCCTTTTTGCCTGAAATGATTCACAAATATCATATATTGTGTATTTAAGTTTTTTCTGTTTTACCAAAAACTACACAATATGACTTATTCCAACAGTTTAATAAATGGTAAATGGACTGCATTGATATAGCGCTTTCACAGACCCAATGGCCACCAAAGCGCTTTACATATTGCCTCACATTCACCCATTCACTCACTCATTCATACACCGACTGCGGTGTCAGCCATGCAAGGCGCCATCCAGCTCATCGGAGGGTGACAATATCTAAATAAACCTTAAATGAGTAATTTTGTATTGAATTTGTCTTGCTTTCATATAGCATTACAGTTCATAACATTAAAATGTTCTGTCTTACTTCAGAAATCACTGGCACAATTTACCCCAACATATTCCCCCAAAGGCACAACTTACCCCGCACCAGGGGCAAGTTGTGCCATGAGACCACCTTTTTCCTAAAAGCTATATTTCTGGAACAATTTATTTCAGATCCAAGTTATTGTTCTCAGGGATGCACCACATCCTGAAATATATGTACATCCTTAAGTTGAAGGCATTACTGTCATGGCCTCACTTTAAAGTCACTTTGAGTAAAAACTGGCACAACTCACCCCACTTTCCCCTACTAAAAGTAATCACATTGATTTTACAGTTAACATCAGGAGGGCATAACTCAAGATTATTATTAAAAAGAGATTACAGAAAAAATGTCAAGAAACAATTAAGGGCAATGGTTTCGCAGGATTCAAAGGGAAGTGGGAGAAATGAGGTGTACAGGAAGGAATAGGAGGGACGAGATAATAATTTCGAGGCTTAGGTAAACATTACACGAGGAAATGTGATTTATTTGGGCAGAAAGAGACAGTAGAATATGATAGATTGTTAGAAATATGAAAGAGACAGAAGACATTGATCCAAATATTGGACAGAGGGAGATACGCTTTTATTTAATAGATCTTATGTGAGAGTCAAAATATATGTGCTATAATTTATTGTTTCAATATCTTAGAGAAACTCATTTAAGGATATAGATTTTTTTTTTTAAACAGTGAATACATTATGGTCCACACTCCTTACCAGTTGGTAGCAGTAAACCAACATACAATAAAGTAGCTGTTTATTATAAGCGTGCACAGCTGTGCCCCCCCCCCCCCTTAAAGTTCAGTCAGTAATACAAAATAAAAAAAAAGTTCAAATAAACAAATTACAAGCAATAGCACAACTAAATACAATATAAAAAATGAAACAAAAAGTAAATAAACATGTTTTGATTTTCAGGCTATAACAGTATTCAATTGAACAACCAAATGTAAAATAACACTATAATCTTCACTGTATAAATCAACTATAAATTAATCCTTATTAAAGTCACAAACGTTATTCAGTCATGAGCAGTGAGTGATTTATGTCTGTCTTTTGTGGTTTGATTGACGTTAATAACAGACAGCAGCAGGAGTATTAGGCTGATGTCACTTTAAGACCGGATGCACTGATCCAATATTTTGACCCACATTCGATTTCTTTCTCGACTCGACTGTTTACATTCACTTAAGACATAACCGACTGTGTTTAAGTAAATACTTGCCAAGGCTGGCATTTTGAAATAATCGTGTGTTCAAGCAGTAAGACGTGAGAGAGAACTCAATTCAGTTTTGAGACGCAGCTTTCTTCTGTGAGTGCAAATCCAAAATGTAATTGTCTTGTGTGTGTTCAAGCACTTGATCTTTACATTTACAAGACTTAAAAAAAGAAAGAAAAAAAAGAGGAATTATTAAAAAAAATATATATATATTTTTCAGCCAATGGAAGCCTGTGCAATAATGCGCTCGTCTACGTGAACAGAGGATGAGGCGAAAAACCCGATAGATTGTCATTGGTGATGGTTGTCATTGGTGGTGGTTGTCATTGGTGGTGGTTGTCATTGGTGATGGTTGTCATTGGTGGTGGTGGTTGTCATTGGTGGTGGTTGTCATTGGTGGTGGTTGTCATTGGTGATGGTTGTCATTGGTGGTGGTGGTTGTCATTGGTGGTGGTTGTCATTGGTGGTGGTTGTCATTGGTGGTGGTTGTCATTGGTGATGGTTGTCATTGGTGGTGGTTGTCATTGGTGATGGTTGTCATTGGTGATGGTTGTCATTGGTGATGGTTGTTGTAGTGATAATCAGATAGGTAATCGAGCCAGCTCTGGTATGGGGAGTGAATTAACTAGATTCTAATTTAGTTAAGTTCCCCTTAACTTCCATTCGTGAAACAAAGGGGGTAGTGTTTTGAATTGATTAAATCATTGACTATGACTCGCACATGCAGCATCCTTCGCTAATGAATGAACAACGGAATGCTTTGCTTACGAGTTGAGTCAGCCCTGGACATGTGACTCGAGATGAGATCACGAGTCCATCTCGAGTCCGGCCGAAGACCACGCGACCCCTTAGGGTCTCCTTGGTCTGACCACCTCACAATAGAGCAATTGTGCAATGAGTAAGTCAATTCACAATGCTGCCTGAGTGCTGACAGACAATTACGCATTCCACACACACAAACACCAGCCATGGAACTTTTCAGAGAAAAGTACCTCTAAATGTTTTAAATGTATTCATTTTGTGCTTAGATGTCGTCACATGCCGTACTGGAAGTACTGACAATTTTATTGTGTGTTAACCAACTTCAAAATGCTTGTAATTCTGCATATGAATGTAACCCTATGTTCTTCTACTTTTACCTGCCATGTCTGGTGGCTGTTTGACCGCCTTGTCTTGACTGAACCAGTCATACATAGGATATTACTGTAAAATCTATGGTCCGGTCTGTACAATCTTTCTGGGTAGGAATGACAAAATGTTATACCATCATAAATGATCCTGACAAGACAAAGAGGAATCTTCCGCGGCACTTTTCTCCCAGCTGATTGGTGCCTTCATGCCAGAAGGGGCGTGAACCTAAGTGTCCTTAAAGAGACGCGCCGAGCTTCCCTTGTCTGCCTGCTTAAAAAAAAAACGCTTCTGAAAGCTTCCTGAAAACTCTCTGCCAAAACTCCCTGGCTCTTCCTGCTCTTTGTGGCTTCATCATGTGACTCCTCGTGCGTCTGGACATCGCCTTAGTGTGATGATCCATCGTTTCTCTTTTTGTTTTCGTCAAGTTTATTTTATCTTTTTCGAAGGCTCCTCTGTTCATGTCTTCTCGCGAAGAAAATGAACACAGCCAGACTGGCAAGCTTCACCTAAAAGGACATTCAAACACGCCGCGCTCGCTGGACGAACCCGAACGCTCGGCAGCCACATGACAGAGATACACCCACACGCCTTTTTCAGATCAGCCCCACCAAAAGAGCTTTACCTGTGCAAGTATCCGTTTTACTATGCTTATTTAAGATCTGTTGAGTCTTGTTCTAATTCAAAAGGTTCTGTGTCTGTGATGAATTGTGCCAAGAAGATCTCTCATCTTCTCTCTCTCTCTCTCTCTCTCTCTCTCTCTCTCTCTCTCTCTCTCTCTCTCTCTCTCTCTCTCTCTCTCTCACTCCCAATCTTGCGCTCTCGCAATCTCTCTCTCTCACTCCTGTTTGTTGTTCGTCTGTCTCATTTGTTTTACTGTTTACTGTACATACATGTATCCCGTGTTTAAATGTAGAATTCTGTATCCGTAGTTTCATTTTATTAAAACCATTATATTCTTGATTGTTTTGAATGCTCATATTTTTACAAGTCAATGAAATGCGATCCTATAGCTACAAAGCTTTACAAGTTGTTACTATATCAGTAACGTAAATTTTATAAACACGAGAAAATTAATGTTCACGGCCGGAACATTGAGATTTCTTGGAGTTTATAAAAAGGGATAACGTTGTTGAATTAATTGATGGGTTAATCTTACAGCCGTTTGCTGGACAAACCGATTGTTTGGTAGCCAATTGATTCCCTTAAAGTTATCCCATATAATCGATCTGTAATGAGACCATTGATATATGAATGAGGAATTATAATTCGTTATGATTGATCATTCATATATACAATCGATCTATTTTCAATTTCGATAATTTAACTGTAGTATGCAATATATTAATCATATTCATGATTAATTATTAAAATTCCCTATGCATAATTTGAGCTAATTAAGGCACATCTCATTGTTGCTACTGGTGATGGTTGTCATTGGTGGTGGTTGTCATTGGTGGTGGTTGTCATTGGTGATGGTTGTCATTGGTGGTGGTTGTCATTGGTGGTGGTTGTCATTGGTGATGGTTGTCATTGGTGATGGTTGTCATTGGTGATGGTTGTCATTGGTGTTGGTTGTCATTGGTGGTGGTTGTCATTGGTGATGGTTGTCATTGGTGATGGTTGTCATTGGTGATGGTTGTCATTAGTGGTGGTTGTCATTGGTGATGGTTGTCATTGGTGATGGTTGTCATTGGTGGTGGTTGTCATTGGTGGTGGTTGTCATTGGTGATGGTTGTCATTGGTGATGGTTGTCATTGGTGGTGGTTGTCATTGGTGATGGTTGTCATTGGTGATGGTTGTCATTGGTGCTGGTTGTCATTGGTGATGGTTGTCATTGGTGGTGGTTGTCATTGGTGATGGTTGTCATTGGTGATGGTTGTCATTGGTGCTGGTTGTCATTGGTGATGGTTGTCATTGGTGGTGGTTGTCATTGGTGATGGTTGTCATTGGTGGTGGTTGTCATTGGTGATGGTTGTCATTGGTGATGGTTGTCATTGGTGGTGGTTGTCATTGGTGATGGTTGTCATTGGTGGTGGTTGTCATTGGTGGTGGTTGTCATTGGTGATGGTTGTCATTGGTGGTGGTTGTCATTGGTGATGGTTGTCATTGGTGGTGGTTGTCATTGGTGATGGTTGTCATTGGTGATGGGAGGCACAGCCTACATTTGTAACGATTTCCACACTTTGCCTCTAATGTAAATCAAGAACCCGTTGACAAATATGGCTACCATGACATATTATATTTTGAGCGACAAGGATTTGGAAATTAACTGATTTTAACATTAATTACTTTGCACAGGCAACAATTTAAAAAGTTGACTTGAAGACTTGTGATAATAATAGGTAGAACGATTTTCACCTCTGTCCATTTTGGTCATAGACTTAAAGTCATCACTGAGGTTGAGAGGTTGATATTAATAGGCTAATAAAAAAATATTTCATAGTTTAACAAATAACGATTTAGTTTTCAAACTAGATTTCCAAATAATGATTTTTGGCACAATGGCGCCCCCTCTGTCGTGTATATGGCTGTAATAAAATAGGCCTATACCCATACGCAAAATTATCCCGAAATAATAAGGTGCTGCTGTTATGTCGTCTTCCACTTTAAATGTCTCTTGTGTTGGTATTTGTCTTCCACAATTGTCGTGTCAGAACAGCCACAGAGTTGTGGATAAATGTGTACAGACTGAGAGACACAGATAACTCAGCGTGAGAACTGAGGAAGTCGTTTCCTCTCTTCTATCTTTATCTGATGCCTCAGTCAGTCAGTCGTCTAAACGCCTCGACATGAACATCTTTCAAGAGTCCTGCTGCTCCATTTTAGCAGTTCTCCTGCTTTTCCTTCTCCGGGGTGAGTACATCGAGAAACATACAACATCTCAGTTGTAACAAGGTGTGAGTGAGACACTTTCTTATTTGTATTTGGTGTGTATAGGGAATTAATATGCATCTGAAAAACTGCTTTTGGTTCCATATATGGTATATTGGTTTCATATATTTGTCATATCACATCTAGTAACTTAAAATAGGGGAGACCGGGGACAGTTGCAACACTGTTTGCATTTAGCTCTGTTACTCAGAGACGGTTTGTATTAGACAAACCAATTGTTTATACAATAAACTTACACCTGTATGTTAATAGTCTAAACCAAGATAATTACAGAATCTACATCTTTCACAATTTGCATTTGAATGTAAGGAGTCGGGCCCGGGGTCGGGGGTCAGTTAATATAATATTTTTCATTTTAACAATATATTATGCATGTGTGACTTTTGTATTCTGATTACTGATTGGTCCCACCCTCCATCAACACAGGAACTCGGAATTTGGATGACAAAGCTTTATTTTCTGCACACTGCACACAGAGCATTAAGAGAGAGAAAATGGCGAATCGTTACACTCACAGCTCCACCCACAGCAGTTCTCTCTTACTCTGCTCTACTCAGTATCTTTATGCACATTTCTTATTCACAGTACATTTGTATCAAAAACAATAACTAAAGTAAAATAATAATGAAATGTAATAAACTCTCCAGTCAATTACAGACTGTTAACCTTTTTCTGGTTTGTTGTGATCGTATAACACTTGTATCATCCTTCTTATATACTATTTCGTTTCAGAAAATAACATCTGATAGATTCAGTGAAACCATGAATTACATTATAAAACACAGTTTGTCCCAACTATTTCCCAACAGCACAGAAAATATAACTTTATAAACAGTAGAATTACTAAACACTGTATAATAAAACATTTACCTGCACACAGAGCATTAAGAGAGAGAAAATGGCGAATCGTTACACTCACAGCTCCACCTATCCAAAACACATTCATCTCGTTAGAGAGCACATGGCAAACATGACGCAGTTGGAAATCGCAAACATAAAACAATCAAAATTCTCATAAATATAGACGGAAAACACTCTCAACCAGTTAATCCGTGTCTCTTATGAGCAATCCATCAAATAATCATAAATCATTTAAGATGAATTTATACATTTTTCAACTTTTAGTGCGGAGCTTACAGGAAACCGACTCACCCACAGCAGTTCTCTCTTACTCTGCTGCAGATCGTTCGTGCGCACGGTAGCCTATAGCGCCACCCGCGTACTCCATAGGAAGTGCAATCCCATTGTTGCAGGATTTATTTAAAGAAATCACAACTATATTATTTATCCCGTCACATACACCCCCCTTAAATCCTGCTAAATGGGGATATACCAACAAGAATCAATAACTCAATAACTTTACAACTCAAACAACAATAAAGAAAAGAGAAAATTGGAATGCTGAAATATAACATCAATAAAGAAAGAATAAAGTGCATGGAGTATGATTAGCTGTCAATCAGTTGATTCTTCCAATAGAAGTACCGAAAGATAAGGAAGGCGCCTATCCCCAATCTCACAGTAGACCAAAGAGATGCCTGTTACACCTCAAAATATCATTTTACACTAACTCCTGATTAGACTTCAAATCTCTGTATCAATATATTCTTTTATGTAGTCTTAGCATATGCACAAAATCAAGTAACACTGTTTATGTGAAAATGTGTTTAACTAAATAAACAAAAGAACTCACTGTAGAATCTGGGCTGTTTATGTTTTGTGTGTTCATCTCATAAAGCAGTCTTTTAGGAGGTTTAATGACTCTGCCAAGTCTAGTTTGAGTCACTCCTGTATCAACAAGTCCTGGTTGTGTGCAAATCACAGGTTCCTCTGTATCCTCAAGCACAAACAATTCTCCTCGAGTTGAATCACAGTCTTGAACAACCATTTCAGGTAAATCAACAACACTCTGAACATGTCCATTACTCCTTTCATTCAGGCTCCCAGCGTCAACACTCATGGAATCCAGGATCTCGGACGCACAGTCCAACACATCAGGTAAGTCTATCTGGTTTGTATGTTCCTCATTTTCAACAACATCATCAGGACTACTTAATATCCAGTTTGCAGTTCTGTCATCATGATCAATTTCATTTTCTTGAATCAATTCCTCATTCACGTCATCACACCCTTGATCCTGGTTCCGAGACTCAGCAATTGGTAGGAAGTTCACAGGCAACAAGAAGTTCCTATGGACTACTCTCACTTTGTCTGAGGTGATTGATCGAATTCTGTAAACATTGATATCTGGATAAACAACCATGACTTCATATGGAGACGACTCCCACTTGTCAGCAATTTTTTTCCTGCCTCTTTCACCCCTGTTTGCAACCAGCACTCTATCTCCAACAGTCAGTGGGCATCCCTTCACTTTTCTGTTATACAGTCTGCCATGCCGTTCCTGTTCCTTCAAAGTGTGTTCTTGTGCTATACGTGCTGCTTCACGCAAGTCATTTTTCAACTTGGATACAAAATCCTTTAAATCCACCACATCCTCATTGAAAAGCACGTTCTGAAACAGGATATCAATTGGAAGACGAGGAACTCGGCCAAACATAAGGAAGAAGGGTGCGAAGCCAGTCGTCTCATGTTCCGTGCAGTTGTAACAGAAGGTAAGTTGCTGTAGCATTTGTGGCCACTTTGATTTTGCTTTAGGAGGTAACGTCCTGATCATACTACCCAGAGTCCTGTTGAACCTCTCAGCAATGCCATTACCCATGGGGTGGTATGGGGTTGTGTGTGACTTGTCCACACCCGCCATGGTCAACAGTTCTTTAATCAGCTTGCTCTCGAAATTAGCCCCCTGGTCAGAATGAATTCTCTTGGGAAATCCATAAACTAAAAAGAAATCATTCCAGAGCTTTTTCGCAACTTGTTTGGCAGACTGGTTTTGGCATGGAAAAGCATGGGCCATCTTTGTAAAATGATCTGTCACAACCAGCACGTCAACAGACTTTCCGTCTCTGAGCTCAGCCGACCAAAAATCGATACAGACCAGTTCAAGTGGCTCTGATGTACGGATACTGGTTAACGAAGCACAGGCATTGGGTTCTGAAGTTTTACCAACCACACAGCGACAACAATTCGCCACATAATTATCAACATCTTTCCTCATTCCAATCCAGAAGAATCGTTGTCTTGCTAGTGACAGTGTTCTACTACGACCTTGATGTCCTGCTGCATCATGTATTCCCTGTAGAACTTGTGTTTTTAAGGAAACAGGTACAACGAACAGGTGCAGTTTCTTGTTCAGCTTCGGATCTCTCTTCACCTTATACAACACACCATCACTGATGACCAGTCTATCATAGTGTTTCAACAATCTCCGCACACTTTTCGATTCTTTGGTTTGTTCTTTCTTAGATGGTCTCCGACATCTCTCAATGTAGTAACGAATCCGACTCAAGGTGCTATCCATCTCCTGTCCCTGAACAATGGTACTGTGCTGTAACGGAGGGTTCAACTGTTGTGGTGGTGAGAGAGCTGGTACCATCCCCAGTATTTCACTCAAGCCGCCAGTAGAATGGGCTGCCAACACTGCAGAAACTTCTTCACTCCCAGAAGAACCTGAAGACAAGAGTCCATCACTGTTTGGCTCACCAGAATCTTTCCCACCCTCCTGCGCGACTTGATAATTACTCGTGCACTTGAAAGCATCCTGGACAGAATCGTCGACGACACCACTGACATCCTTCAAAAGAGACAGGTAAGGTTCAGTGATGAGACGATGGCCTATACAAGACTGAACGAATGGCTCCCGACTCAAGGCATCCGCAACCACATTCTTCGTTCCTGGAACGTACTTGAGATCAAAACTGTAAGAAGCCAGTTTCGCCACCCATCTCTGCTCACATGCGTCCAGCCGTGGCTTAGTCAGAATATAAGTAAGAGGGTTATTATCTGTCCAAGCCGTAAAATGCCGTCCTCTCAGCCAGTGGCTAAACTTCTCACAGATAGCCCACTTTAAAGCAAAGAACTCTAATCTGTGAGCTGGGTAGTTCATTTGTGAGCGAGACAGAGTTCTACTCGCAAAGGCTACGGGTCTGGCAATCTCTTCACCAGGCAGAACTTGCATCATTTGATGGAGTAGGAGCTGTATTGTCGCATCTACAGCCAGAATGAAATGTTGATCAAAGTCCGGATGAGCCAATGTCACATTCCTTGTTAGTTCTAGTTTCAAGATGCGCAAAGCTTCCTCACAATCAGATGTCCAATCGGCGGGAGAGAGTTTGAGATAACTGACTTTCTTCCTTGGGTTGCGTCCTTTCGTGATAGGAGTCTGTTTGACTGTACCTGAGGTCAGTTTGAATAGAGGCTTGGCTTTTGCTGAACATCCTTCGATGAAATGTTGATAATATAAAACCATCCCAAGGAAGGACCTGATCTTTTTCTGACACGGGGTTTTTCCATCAGATTCCATCAAATCAGATGCTGTGATGTTATTAATGGCCTCAACTTTACCAGGATCAGTCTTAATCCCTTCCTCACAGACAATGTGACCAAGGAATTTCACAGATCGTCTCAAGAGAAAACATTTTCCAGGAGCCAACTTTAGATTATGATGTGTCAACCGCAAGAGAACCATTTCAAGGCGTTGAAGAGCAACTGACTCAGACGGAGCAAACACCATCAAATCATCAAGGTAACAGAGAACGCTGCTGAAATTCTCATCTCCAAAGATAGACATCATCATTCTCATGAAAGTGGCTGGGCTATTCGAAAGACCCTGAGGAAGCCTGTTATACTCATGAAGCCCAAACGGGGAAGAGAAAGCAGTGTACTTTTTGTGTTCTTCCGCTACAGGAACATTATAATACCCTGAGGTAAGATCCATGGTAGAAAAGAACGTATTGCCACCCAAAGCAGCTAACACATCGGACTGATGTGGTAATGGGTAGGCATCCCTGACAGTCCTCGCATTTAACCACCTGAAGTCAGTGCAGATCCTGAGATCGCCATTC